AAACTAGCATGCTTATCAAACGGGTAAACCAAAGGTAGTTCCAAAGAACACACAAGACTCATCACGGTTCAACGAAACACAATGTTGAACACTTAGCACGATTCAAGACACCAAAACCTACATGGATACCTATCATATAGTTCTAGACATACAAAACATCAAGAAGACACTCAAATAGTTCCACAAAAGAACATCGGGAAGTCAAAAGACCAAATACCGAGTCAAAAGAATCACGGGGAACAAATCCCCCAGCAACCAACATAGTGTACCCGCGAGTAGGCCCACGGGTAGGCCTCTACCCGCGGTTCCGCCCGCGGGTATAGGCTGCCTGACCAATATACCCCGCGGGTGGGCAGCGGGTTGGACGCCTACCCGCCATTCCGCTCACGGGTACATCTCTGTACCACAATACAACACTTCGCGGATTTTCATCTCCAAACTCAAATTCAAGTCCAAAACATGCCAAATCTCACCAAATATAACAAAATGACTTGAATCAAAGGAAATTCCAAGCAATGGCACAAATGAACCCTAAACACAAGCTCTAGATATGCATTTTCACAAGACAATGCATAAACACTCACAATTCATAGCAAAACACATGTAGAATCCAAGAAATATTCACATATAGGTAAGCAAAATAGGTTTTGTAGAGCATGGGTTACCTCTTGTAAACTAAAGACTTCACTTTACACCTCAACAAGTTCCTCACTAGGCTCACCTTCCAAACCCACTTCAAGAACATACCAAAAGATCATAAAGATCCTATCTTTAAGAAAAGGCACCTTATATAAAACCAAAAACACAAGATGAACTTAGATCTTACCCTCCTAGATGCCCAAATATAAGAAAGGTTGAATCTTGGAAGCAACTCTTGAAGTTTTGGCAAGGTTCCAACTTGGCTTGGAAGAAAAGCTACTCACCTTTTAGAGAGATGGTGGAGCTAGATTTTTAGAAAAGTGTAAGGAGAGAATTAAGGTGGTATACTAGGTTAGGTTACATTACCAACAACAAGTGAAAGGTCAAGAATGCCCTTACTAACATTAAGAAGTGTAAGGAACAAGGGAACTCCTTACAAAGCTCAAGGTACAACTTTGACTTTGGGGTTGACTAGTCAATTACTAATCCCCAAGCATTGAATTTTCAGGATTTTAGGAATTAATTCACCAATTGAGATAGGATTAATTACTCAATTAATCCATTAATTGAATGTGGATTTCGGGGTGTCACAGTCGAAGTGAAACCCATCTGAGAAGTTGGCTTAAAGGTAGAGGTGTTGCCGTGTTGGGGATGGAAGTGACCCCTTCATGGTCACCAGAATGGGAGGACGAAGAAGACATTGCAAGGAAAATATTAAACAATTAAAAAAGAGGAGGAGCGAGAAACCAACCTAAACAAGAAGAGACGAGAAAACGACAGAAGGAACGAGACGAGAAGGAAAGTGATGGAGAAGACAACTGGAGACTAATCGAAGGCTCGTCGAAGGATGAATGGAAAGCAAAGGAGAGTTCTTCACCGGAAAACAATGAAAGTGAAAGTAAAAAATGAAGAGTGAATGGGGGTTATTTATAGGATGAGAAAGGTTGAGGAGATAGCAACACGTCGCAAAAGATCGGATGGTGGGAAAGAGAAGATGTGACGGTTGAAGCGACATGAAGCGTACACGGGAAGCTAAAAGGGTTTGATAAAATAAATAGGCAAGGCCTAAAAAAGGAGTCGACGCGTAGCCAACCACAACTCCTTGTAAAATGAGTCGGGAAAAGATTGTAGTTAGTGTTTAGGTTGGCTAGAGGCCTGGGAAAAGAGTCGGCACTCAGTCAACCGCGCCTCCTTATAAAAGGAGTCATGAAAAGATCACAGTTAGTGTTAAGGTTGGGTGGAGACATAGAAAAGCAGTCGGTGCTTAGTCAACCGCGCCTCCTTGTAAAGGGAGTCGGGAAAAGATCGTAGTTGGTATTAAGGTTGACTGGAAGCCTGGAAAAGGAGCCTGCACTCAGTTAACCCCGCCTCCTTGTAAAACGAGTCAGAAAAAGATCGCAGTTGGTGTTAAGGTTGGTTGGAGGCCTGGAAAAGGAGTCGACGCTCAATCAACCACGCCTCTTTGTATAAGGAGTCGGAAAGATCACAGTTGGTGTTAAGGTTAGCTAGAGGCCTGGAAAAGGAGTCTACGCTTAATCAACCGTACCTCCTTGTAAAAAGAGTCGAGAAAAATCATAGTTGATGTTAAGGTTGGGTAGAGGCCTGGAAAAGGTGTCGACGCTTAGCGAACCGCGCCTCCATGAAAAAGGAGTCGGGAAAATATCAAAGTTTGTGTTAAGTTTGGCTGGAGGCCTGGAAAAGGAGTCGGCGCTCAGCCAACTGCGACTCCTTGTAAAAGGAGTCAGGAAAAGATTGTAGTTGCGTTAAGGTTGGTTGGAGGCCTGGAAAGGAGTCGGCACTCAGTCAACCGTGCCTTCTTATAAAATGAGTTGGAAAAAGATCACAGTTGGTGTTAAGGTTGGCTGGAGACATAGAAAAGGAGTTGCTGCTTAGTCAACCGCGCCTCCTTGTAAAAGGAGTCGGGAAAAGATCGTAGTTGGTCTTAAGGTTGGCTGGAAGCCTAGAAAAGGAGCCTGTGCTCGATCAAGCGCGCCTTCTTGTAAAAGGAGTTGGGAAAAGATCGCAGTTGGTGTTAAGGTGTGCTGGAGGCCTAGAAAAGGAGTCGGTGCTAAGTCAACCGCGCCTCCTTGTAAAATGAGTCGGGAAAAGATCGCAATTGGTGTTAAGGGTTGCTGGAAGTCTGGAAAATTAGTTGACGCTCAGTCAATCGCGCCTTCTTGTAAAAGGAGTCCGAAAAAAGATCGTAGTTGTTGTGAAGGTTGGTTGGAGACCTGGAAAAGGAGTCGACGCTCAGTCAAACTTCCTTCCTTTTGAAAGGAGTGCAAAATAGGCTTTGAAGCTAAGGTTGATCGAATGCTTGCGAAAGGAGACAACAAAGGCGCTATAATCCATAGATGAATAAGCAGTACTTTCCCGTACCAAGCTTTGCAAGTACAGAAAAGTGATGGACTAGATGATTGGATATGGACCCGAGCCCGGAAGGTTGACGTTAGTGGGCGGTATGAATGAAGATTATAGACGAGGGAATTGATCATAGTATAGTAAAGTGAAGGCAACCAAGACAAGCAATGGGATATGAGAAGGCATGAGTGAAGGAATCGGACCTGTCATTCTACCACTCGATCGGGAGTGAAAGGCACCCTTTACGGCTGCTGGATGAGAGCGTTAGCCAGTCGACCTGGGGAGGTTGGGTGACTCAGCTAGCCAGGCGGTCAGGTCAAGACGAAAGGTTGGAGAGTCCAGACGAGTAGAAGGGCTGAACGGTTAAAGGGGCCATTTGACTAGAAGGGTAGAGCGGTTGGAGTGGTCAGTCGGATAGAATAACAGGATGGATGCGTTAACTAGCCTTGCGTGGCTTAAGGAGGACCAGCCGAGTGACAGAAGGAGTTGGCTGGAAGGGGGCAGCAGGTAGAGTAATTTGAGTACTCGGCGAGAGTGCAATAATGAGGCAATCAGTGGAGTTAATAGCAATGATGAGACCGGTTGTTGTGGGAGACGGTTCGTCACAATGGAAATGGGAAGTCGTCATAACTTCTCCTGATTAAAGACATTTTGGCATTTAAAGCATTTATGACTTCATTTATGGCATTAATGATAGGCTAGGCGTTTCAGTCTTCCTAGCGTGTATAAAAAATCTGAGAAGGCACTGTAAAAAGGATTAAGCTTTTTTAAGTATACACGAGTAAATTGAGAGTAAAACATTTTTCCGATAACTAGTATCATTTTTCTGATAGTGCTAACTCGCCAACTAACTACTTCGATAGTCACAAAACCAACAACTCTTTTCCTCTCAAAAGGAAATACATTTATTTTCAAGATTCATACTGATTTATTAGTATTGCAAGCTGCATTAATTTTGATTTTTTAATTCCAATCTTTTTAAAAAAAAAGCTAAAATCCATTCAATAAAAAGCTTACCATTTAGAGCGCGTGTATATATGTGTGTGTGTGTGTTGAGCAAATACTAATTTTGATTTTACGAGTACTAGCAAAATGATAATTTTTGTTCAAATGTTTAAATTTTACTAATTTTCATCCAAAACTATTGTTTTAGTACTAATTTTAATTCACAACTATTGTTTTAATGGCAAAATCATCATGTCGGTCACCCCTTCGTTTAAGATATGTTGCAATATGAAATTATTAAAGGTATTTTTGTCCTTTTCAAATTAAGATCTCAATTTGAGCAGGAATAAGATAGGATGAGGAGGAGAACTGTAAATTGAGATTGATCTTAGAATTTAAAATTTCTTTATTCATGCTCAAATTAAGATCTTTAATTGAAAATGATGAAAATACCTTTAAAAATTAAATTTTGACATGTTTTAAACAAAGAGGTGACCGATATGATGAATTTTGGCATTAAAACAATAGTAGTAAGTAAAAATTTAAATACCAAAACAATAGTTGTGGACAAAATTAAACATTTAAACCAAAATTATCATTTTACTAATATTTGTGGGATTTGCTTTATTAAAGTTGGTTGGTTTTAAATTCTTGTCTCTCTCTCTCTCGGCTGGCAAATTGCGAGCAGAGACAGACAAGTCCAGGAGTTGGTGGCCGCCGCTAGGCGAGCAGCTGCGAAGAAGAACAAAGCCGTCAGCATGACAGCATCTGTAAAATCTATTTTTAGAAAATAAACAAACCAATTAGGGGAGTACTTATGAACCAATATTCTCAAAGCTCTTCCCGCTACGACACGATATTGAACTTTTATTATGTTGGGATAATTCCCAAGAAAATTTCAAAAAAAAAAAAAAAAAAACAGAACACACAAATATGGAAATGACTGGATGTCCATTTCCCAGCAGGCAGCAGCAACACGCCACTACAAGTCGTCAACGACTGTGTCGTTGCGACGACCCATATGTCAGAACGATAAGTTGGTTTTCCGAAATATTAGTAAAGAATTAATTATTAATTAATATAATAATAATAATACATAAATATCAACAAAAGATTATTACTTTTTTCTCTGGGCATCTTTCTCCATCTGTCTCTGTCCATATTAGACTACTGTATGTGGATGGATGAACAAACTGTGAAGAAAAGTAGTGTTGGGAGGGTAGATGAGGATTGTGATTTTGGAGGGGTGTTTTGTATAAAAGTCCACCGCCATTTTCTTGATTGTGATGTTTTTCTTTTATCTCCCACTAAATGGGTTTCATTTTGACTTTGAGTTTGGGGTGTGTTTTTGCACAATCTCTGGCATGAGACGCTTTCTTCAATTATTGACTTGGAAAAGAATCGCCATTCATTCCAGTCTCCTCCCTTCTCTTGCTTTAATTTAAGGTATGTTTGTTCTTAACTCAGTGTTCCAATGTTGCCTTTCAGTGCATTTGAGTTGGAAAGAAGGGGCTTTGATCTGCTTCTGGATATCATTTAATAATTGGTTTTGTGTCTTTATGCTCTCCCCTCCCTTTTTTCCTCTTTGAGCTATGATTATGGGTTTGAATTTCTCTTTTCCCCTGTTTAATTCCCTTGAATTTTTCAGCAATATGATTGGGAATGAAAACTTGAAATACTACTTAATCAAGCTTTGTTTGACCTGAGAGGAGGTCCTATACTCCTATGTATTTGCTGTTCATTCCATAGTTATATGAGTTAACTTACAGAAGTTGGATTGGGAAATGATTGATTGCTATCTGACTTCTAGGGATTCAAGATGGACAGACTAAGGCCTTATGGATTTGTTTTTGTTGTGGCATTTGCTTGCTTTCTGAAGCTTGTGGTTGCTCAAGTTACTGACCCGGCTGAAGGTTGAGCTTCTTTTCATAAATCTCAAGTTTAGTTAATGCTATTTATCTTGCTTGGTCTCTTATTGAATTATGTACACATTCAAGATCAATTTGTTGTGTCTTTGAATGATTAGCTTCCGTGAATTTACCAAAATTCATCTTTTGGCAGTCTCGGCATTGACAACAGTGAAGAGTAGTTTGATTGATGGCGTGAAGAATCTTAAGAATTGGAAGAAGGGAGATCCTTGCACGTCAAACTGGACTGGAGTTATTTGTTTCCCTGCAGCTAGAGATGACGATGGCTACTTTCATATCAGGGAGATGTAGGTCATTCTTGTGCATTTGCATTTTCTTTAACCTTTTGCTGATCAAGTTCGGTAATATTATATGCTTTTGGGCTCCAGCCCCCTCACATGTGTGGGCCGATACTTTTGATGGACTCCAAGCAACACGTGGACCATAGTCGGAACCCATGACCTTTGGCATGGCTCTGATACCAAATTGAAGCATGTGCTCCATCTCAACTAAAAGCCTAAGCTGATAGTTGGATTGCACATTTATGTTTATGTTATATTATATGTTCAAAAATTATGCCATTCTTCATCACAATTAATTCTGATGGAGGGGTCTTGAGATGTTCTTCTATTGCAGCCAAAGTAATGCCCACCTTCACCCTCATCTTTGATGTGCAGTCATCTAATGAACATGAATCTGTCTGGAAATTTAGCACCGGAGCTGGGATTATTTTCTCATCTTCTAATTTTGTGAGTTAATTGAGGCAGATTTTGCGTTTATATATCCCATTTCCCAAAAAGCTCCATACCGTTCCTATTGTTTTTCCATCTGTTTTGCTTATGCTTTTGCATTCTCCAATTTTCTGCAGAAATTTCATGTGGAATGAGTTGACTGGTAGTATACCAAAGGAGATAGGAAACATCAAATCTTTGAGACTACTGTAAGTCTAACACGTATATTTTGAATTCCTTTGTTCTATATTTAGTCCATGCTTTTTGATCCAGCCTCTCTCCTGGGCCCCAGTCTGCAACCAAGTACATCCAAAAGATCCATATCTAGTTTTGGCCTTATAAGTGCGTTGAGTGCATAAAATCTATACTACTAGATGAGTAATTGAAGCCAATAGTATCCATATGGTTGACCAGCTTGGTTGGTGTGAGTAGCCGTGTACTCTTGTCTCTTAAAAGAGGTCGGGAGTTTGAACCCCTTCTCGTATGGAAAAACCAATCTGGCCAGCACTTTGCCCTTTAACTGGGTCGGCCCAGTGTGAACGGGGATTAGTCTGAGTATTGCACCCAAATTGGACAGCACTTTGCCCCTTAACTAGGCCAGCCCGGTGCGAACAGGGATTAGTCTGAGTATTGCACCCAAATATTGTTGACAGAGGATGCCCGTAGAAACTTGCATGCTTGTGAAAATTATTGATCTACAACCTGAACCATCTTATTTGTTGACCCTAATGCAATGTTATTTTGTGTAGGCTTCTAAATGGGAACAATTTGTCCGGATCTTTGCCTGATGAGCTTGGCTATCTTCCAAAGCTAAATAGATTTCAGATAGACCAGAACCAGATATCTGGAGTAATACCAAAATCCTTTTCAAATTTGAATAGTATCAGACATATGTGAGTTTTCCTCGACAAAATATTACTTTGAGCTGAAAACAAGTTCAAAAGTAACTATTTGTTATCTGTCTCACAATTTTATACATCTGCAGCCACTTCAACAATAACTCACTCATTGGTGAAATCCCTCCTGAGTTGTCCAATTTGTCAACTCTTATTCACTTGTGAGTTTAATCTCTCTCTCTCTCTCTCTCTCTCTCTCTCTCTCACAAATAACATAGATGGTCAGACACATATGTTGACATTCAATTTAATACTAGTTTCTATCTTTGTTTAACAGGCTATTGGACAACAATAATCTTTCAGGAAATCTTCCACCTGAGTTGTCAAAACTTGCTGACTTGCGAATACTGTAAGTACCTCGTATATAAGTTTCAAATAAACCTTTTGTTTGAACAATTTTGTGTATCTAACAAGAAAAGTGAGAGAATCTTAACGATTCGTTGTCTAACAGCATAGTTAGCTAAATGAGCTCCTCAGTCAAACATTTTGAGACTATTCATGATGCATTATCATATCTGTGGGGCGGAGGCCGGTAAAGAGCCAAGTCCAGCAATTGGTGGCTAGGGGGATTGTTGGGCGGAGGCCGGTGAAGGGCCAAGTCCAGCACCCTGTGATACAACCAAATGTTATGGCCCGGGATATCTAGGATCCCCGTCACAGGCCTAGAAACTTAAGAATGAAAAATGAAGCTTTTCTGGAGTGTTTCTTTTCCCAATCTTTCCTTTAACAGAAAGCCAAAATTATCAATTTCCCAAAGTCCCTTCTTCAAATACCTAGGCATCTATTTATACAGGATAAAAACTACCCACTACCTTAAAGTACTCTAACTACCTAAGGAAGTGGTCATCCCACTACTACTACAATAATAATTTTTAAATCATAACCAGTTATCAAACATGCCTTATACTTGAAGTTTGACCTTCCATTCTTCCAAAACAATTTTACAATGTATTATCCTCTGTTTCCGGCAAATGAGAAGGTCTTCTTGTTCACTGGAAGCTTCATGCAATTTGCTTCACAGTATTTGTTATCTATTGATGTTCTGGTTTTTCATGCGCAGGCAACTTGATAATAATAATTTCAGTGGTTCTGAGATTCCAATTTCATATGGAAACTTGCCAAAACTAGCCAAGTTGTAAGTGCTCCTTGACCATTCTACGTGTACAGAAAACACACAATTATGTTTATTGCAGCTATTGCATGATGTTTGATACGAGTCATCAGCTTAGATTCCTTTAACTTTTTAACTTGCCTAATGGCAATTTCTTGTGCCTCTTTTTTCTGTTTCGACAGGAGTCTAAGGAATTGCAGCTTGCAAGGAATCATCCCTGATCTTAGCAGAATTCCGACCCTATACTATCTGTGAGTTTACATTGTACTTGTTCTTCTATTTCTCTCAATGTTCTTCGACTTCTATATATGCTTATTTCTTTATGATTCTATGTGTGATGGGCTCCAATTATCTAGCTTCTTGCTTTCTTATTAATTTACAGAGATCTCAGCTGGAATCTCCTCTCTGGATCTATACCGTTGGAAAAGCTCTCCAACAATATGACAAATATGTATGCACCTTGGTTCACAGACTAGTCAAATCTCAAGTTCAAGAAATTAGATATTTCATTTTTTGGTTCACATCTTTCTCATTGTATTTTCGACCAATTTCTTATGCAGTATTCTGTCAAACAATCGTCTTAATGGATCTATCCCTGGGAGTTTCTCAAATCTTCCTTATCTCCAAAGACTGTGAGGATCTTGATCTTCGTACTTTTGGAATACTGAATTCATTAGTAATTATAACCACTTCTCTTGCTGTAATGCTCAACCAGTACTAAGTTGTTGAAGCTGATTTCTTCCTTCTCTCCAGGTCACTTGAGAACAACCTTTTGAGTGGTTCATTTGCCACCGACATTTGGAAAAACAAGTCCTTTAGCACAAATTCCAGACTCAAGATGTAAGGTTTTAAGATAAATTTTAAGTTGGTCTTTGATATAATTATTCTTTAGTGTTCACCAGGCTTCTGTTTTGTACCAAGGTAAAAACAATGTGTTTTGGTTGTTAAATGTAAAGAAATGCCTCGCTAACTCTTTTGTTCATGGATTTTGTGGACTTAGTGATCTTCGAAATAATGTGCTTTCAAACATTCTAGGAGATCTTGATCCTCCCGTGAACGTCACTTTAAGGTACTATTCTTCTTTCTCCCACTATAAAACATGGAAAAGTGAGCATAAGGGAAATAAATAAATAAAGCATGAAATTTTAGTCAGAGCTAAATCAAGAAAGTTGATGCCTATACTGTTGAGCATATAACCATTAATGTGCAATCCAACTATCAGCTTAGGCTTTTAGTTGAGATGGAGCACATGCTACTCGTTAACCCATATGGAAGCATGTCCAAATTGTTTATGCTTTTTTTTTTCTTTTGGGGTGATGAGGAAAACCCGCAATTACTACCCGATGGTGTGCACTGGGTAAACCAGCCTAGGTTGCCCATAGGTGACCGGCTCAAACCAAGAAGGCTGGTATTCGAACTCACGACCTTGTGGTTACAAGTTTGTATCCTTAGCCATCTTGGCTAGGGTTACCCCCTATGCAATATATTTCTTGTGATCCAATCATGTAGGTCTTGTCTATTTCTATAACTCCTCTCAGAACTCGAGGATTTTCTAGTTCAGTTTCTTGGTATCTTATAAATCATTGTTAGTGTATCAGAGGCAAATCCAATAGTTCTTTTGAAGTTTGCATTTAATTATTTGTGTCAAAAGTAAATTTGGCAACTTATTCCCAGGCTTCAAGGGAATCCCATCTGCAACAACGCAAGTATGAGAAACATTGGCCAATTTTGTGGACCTGGAAGTGGAGGAAACGATGAGCATAATCCTATGACAAATTCAAGTGTTACATGTCCTATTGGAGCTTGCCCAACTGACAACTATTACGAATATGTCCCTGCGTCACCTACCGCATGCTTCTGTGCCTCGCCTCTAAGAATTGGATATCGACTTAAAAGTCCTAGCTTTTCTTACATGACTCCATTTTTTGATCAATTTGAGCTCTATGTAACTCGTGCTCTGCATCTAGAACCATATCAATTGTTCATCGATTCGTGTTCCTGGGAAGAAGGACCTCGCCTCAGGATGTATTTGAAGCTTTTCCCTATGGTTGGTAGCATCCACACATTTAATGAAAGTGAGGTTCTCCGCATCAGAGACATTTTTGCTGATTGGGGTTTTCCTGGAACCGACTTTTTTGGACCTTATGAACTCCTTAATTTCACTCTACTTGGGCCATACTCGTATCGTAAGTAGTCTAAGCTTGTGATCATTATTTTGCTGGTAGAATGTTCATGAATCATGATTTTTAACCACACCCTTTGAAATATCTGTATGGCTTGGACCAGGGAAACCCGCAGCCACTACCCGAGGGTGTGCATTGGGTAAACCTCGCCTTGTGACCCTAACCGGCAAAGTACTTTTCTTTTTGGGTGACAAGGGAAACCCATAGCCACTACCTGAGGGTCTGCACTGGGTAAACCCCGCCTTGTGACCCTAGCCGGCAAAGTACCTTTTTTTTTTTGGGTGACAAGGGAAACCCGAGGGTCTGCATTGGGTGTAAACTCCACCTTGTGACCCTAGCCGGCAAAGGACCACATGTAGGTAAACCAGCCTAGGTTGCCCATAGCTGACCGGCTCAAACCAAGAGGACTGGGATTCAAACTTGTGACCTTGTGATTACAAGTTTTTATCCTTAGCCATCTCGGTCAGGGTTATCCCCATATTAGATATTATTTTACTGATGTATTTATCTTGTCTACTGGTCTGTCTACTGCCACAGTCAATTTTGATTCTGAAGGCAAAGGTACGAAGAAGGGTGTGCTTATAGCTTGTATTGCTGCCGCTGCTATTGTTGCTGCAATAATTTCCACTATTACTACTATTATAATTATAAGACGGCATGCTAGACGTCAAAGAAACCTGTCGAGGAAACGCTTTTGTAAGTCTTCTGATCATCTAGTTGTTTTATCTTGTGTCTATAATATCTCTCGACTGCTTCCCAATCACTATGAACACGACTTCTGTAGCCTCAAAGCTCTATATCAAAATCGATGGTGTTAAAAGCTTCAGCTTTAAAGAAATGGCATTGGCGACTAACGATTTTGATAGCTCAACTCAAGTCGGCGAAGGTGGTTATGGAACCGTTTACAAGGGAAATTTAGCTGACAAATCAGTTGTAGCTATCAAGAGAGCAAAAGAAGGATCCTTACAAGGACAAAAGGAATTCTTGACGGAAATCGAATTGTTGTCAAGGTTGCATCACCGCAATCTAGTTTCACTCGTTGGATACTGCGATGAAGAAGAGGAGCAGGTATGGGTAGAGAAGGCTCCTCAAAATTTCTCTAATTCCAATTCTTCGAATAATTCTTATGTTATACGTGTTCTATTGTTTGTCTTTTGTTATTCGACCATTCCATGTTGAGCATATAATACATATAAACATAAATGTGCAATCCAACTATCAGCTTAGTCTTTTAGTTGAGATAGAGCATATGTTTCAATTTGGTATCAGAGCGAGACTACGGTCCACGTGTTGTTTGGACTTTGGAGTCCATCAAAAGTAATTGGCAACATATAATACATATAAACAAAAATGTACAATTAAGTTTATTTCGAGTCTCTTCTTGGTGAATTTGCAGATGCTAGTTTATGAGTTCATGCCCAATGGTACGCTACGAGATTGGCTTTCTGGTATGGAAACAGTAATTTCTTATGTTCTAGTCTGCTGATCTGCTCTATATTATAATGATGATTGAATTTGTTCCGAAACTTATAATCTCGTCTATGTATTATTACAGCCAAATGCAAGCAAAATTTGATGTTTGGAGCAAGATTACTCATAGCGCTAGGTGCAGCTAAGGGTATCCTATACCTGCACACTGAAGCTCACCCGCCAATATTCCACAGAGATATCAAAGCCAGCAATATTCTCCTAGACTCTAAACTCACAGCTAAAGTTGCAGATTTTGGATTGTCGCGGCTCGCCCCTGTCCTGAATGATGAAGGGATGTTACCCGATCACGTATCAACCATTGTCAAGGGAACACCGGTAAGTTTCGGCTCTCTTAATCATTAAGAAGGTAGAGGGAGATAATAACTTTCACTTGTATGCATAATATGCATTGAAAATTGGGAATTTAGTAGCATAAGAAGAATCTGCAGGGCTGAAGATAAGATTAATATTATCTCATATCTAGTTGTATTATCCTCCCTTCCTAGCACCATCCACCTGTAACTTGGCTCGAATATCACTTGTTAGTTGTTAGAATCAAGTGCTTACCACCGCGTCAAAAATTATAGCTAGTAACAAAGGCTCAACTTTATTTCCTTATAGACCGTCGATCACATTTTCAAGAAGCAAATTATTGTGTGGACCATAACAAAAAGTATATTTTTAATATACTAAAAGTATATTATTCGTGTACTAAATGTATATTATACAAAATAATGTACTTTCAATACTCAAATAATGTATTTTCCCTGAATATAATGTACTCCCTCCTACCCTAATTGATTGTCTCATTTGCTTTTTGCACGGTATTTAATACAACATAACAAATGTTATTAACTTTCCAATTTTGTCCTCAAAAGTATGTATTATTTGTACAAAGTACAATTATACTTACCTCTAGAAATTTGAAAAGTCAAAAGGGTAAATTGAGAAATGTAGAGTGATAGTTATGTTCAATTTTGTACAGTTATACTTCTAGAATTTGAAAAGTCAAAAGAGTAAATTGGGAAATGTAGAGGGATAGTTATCTTCAATTTTAGAAAGATGACACTATTTTGGGACAAATTAAAAAGGAAAGTAAGACAGGTAAAATGGGAAGGAGGGAGTACATTTTTAATATACTTAAAATACATTATCTGTGTATTGAACGTACATTATTTTATAGTATGGTCCACACAGCTGTGTGGACCAATAGTGATTGGTGTTGGACTTGGCCCGGCATCCGCCCAACAATTCCCCTAGCCACCAATTGATGGACTTAGCCCTTTACCGGCCTCCGCCCAACAGTTCAGTTGGCTTGAAACATTGTGTTTGGATGTGCAGGGTTACCTTGATCCCGAGTATTTCCTGACGCGCAAATTGACAGACAAAAGCGATGTTTACAGCCTCGGGGTTGTGTTCTTGGAGATCTTGACAGGCATGCGTCCGATATCGCATGGAAAAAATATTGTTCGCGAGGTATGTGCACATCTTCTGCTACACTCACTAGTCTGCATTTCCTCACCTGGGAAACACTATTCAATCTTCATATATAAAATCATGAATGACAGGTGAACTTGGTTCATGAATCTGGCACACTGTTCTCCATTGTGGACAGCAGAATGGGTTCTTTCCCCTCAGAATGTGCAGAAAGATTCGTGGCATTGGCGCTGCGGTGTTGCAGTGAGAAGCAGGACGAGAGGCCGTCGATGCATGATGTTGTGAGGGAGCTGGAGACCATACTGGGCATGATGCCAGAAGAAGAAGTTGACACACCAAAATCAAACTTCAAGTTTGATGGAATAATGGCATCATCGTTTTCTAATACTGGTAAAGTTCAAACGGGATCATCATCCAACGTTTTCGGGAGCGATCTTGTCAGTGGTACTACATTATCCATCACGCCTCGCTAACTAACTTCACTGAACTTAAACCTTGTACATCAAAATATAGGTAGAAAATTAGGATAATGTCACAACTGCTGCAATAGAGTGTGTTCTGTTCCCCTTTTTTTTTTGCAAACTAGTTATGGAGTGACACGTAGACGCTTATTCTCTCTTTTTAATCCAATTTTTACTCCATATTGTTGTGACATAGGTTGATTGGCTTAAAAAGTGGGGTTACAACTTTTAAGTAAAGAAACAGTCCGCCGTTACGGTTAACGGAGTCCATATGTTTGGTGTATTAAACACCAATTGATATTACAATATATCTAAACCAACACTGCCTCACGTATTATTTTTTATATTATCAAATGAAACTGCAGTGTATATAAAATGAAACTAAATAACATTTCACATATTTGAGTGTATATGGAACAATGAAGCTATAATTATATCAAACTGATCATATAGTTGTATTTTAATAAAACTATAGTGTATATAAAATAAAATTAAATAACATTTTTACATATTTGATCTATAAATATCGAATGAAACTGTAATTATATCGAAATGAAACTGTTGTTGTGTTGAATTGAAACTGCAGTGTGTACAAAATGAAACTGAATAACAGAGTTACTTTTTGTGGAAGGGTGCGAAACGGCGAAAAAACAAATCTCGTTTCTTTTCATTTAACAAAACGACGTCGTTTTGATGCGCGGTGCATAATCGATTATGCACCGTGGTGCACGATATAATTTGCCCAAAGTAAATCCTACTTTGAGCCTATTTTTAACAGTTGTTATATTATAGACCGCGGTGCATAATCGATTATGCACCGCGGCCCATATACGGCGCCGTTTCTTTAAGTAAAGAAACGGTCCGCCGTTAGAGTTAACGGAGTCCGTTTGTTTGGTGTATTAAACACCAACTGACACTACAGTATATCCAAACCGACACTGCAGTTATATCAAAATGATACTGTAGTTATAGTGAAATGAAACTGCAGTGTATATAAACTGAAACTGAATAACATTTCACATATTTAAGTGTATATTGTACAATGAAGCTGTAATTAAATCAAAATGATCATGTAGTTGTGTTTTAATAAAACTATAGTGTATATAAAATAAAATTAAATAACATTTTCACATATTTGAGTCTATAAATATCGAATGAAACTATAGTTATATCGAAATGAAACTGTAGTTGTGTTCAACTGAAACTGCAGTGTATACAAAATGACACTGAACAACAGAGTTACTTTTTGCAAAAGAGTGCGAAACGGCGGAAATAAACACTGTTAATTTTCATTTTAAAAAAAGACGCGCGGCATAATATAATTTGCCTATTTTTAAAGTCTACTTGGCATGATGCCAGAAGAAGAAGTTGACACACCAAAATCAAACTTCAAGTTTGATGGAATAATGGCGTCATCGTTTTCTAATACTGGTAAAGATCAAACGGGATCATAATCCAACGTTTTCGGGAGCGATCTTGTCAGTGGTGCTACATTATCCATCACGCCTCGCTAACTAACTTCACCAATCTTAAACCTTGTACATCAAAATATAGGTAGAAGATTAAGATAATGTCACAACTGCTGCAATAGTGTGTTCTGTTCCCCATATTTTTTTTTTCTTTCTTCTTTTTTTTTTTTTTTATTGCAAACTAGTTATGGAGTGACACGTAATGCCACTTATTCTCTCTTTTTAATCTAATACTAGTTTTTCTACCCGCTTTGCGCGAATAGGATAATGCTCAATACTTATTTTTAAATAAGTATTTCAAAGTATATCAATGTAATATTATATAGAAGATGTTCATGCATAGGTAAATAATGTTGAATTTGTTTATTTAAATCAGTAATTTAAAGTATATAAATGCAAGATAATATATGAGAGATTGATTATATATAACTGTCACAAAAATAAATATTTGCAACTTTGTAATAACGTTAATCTAAGTACTAAGTCTAAAAGCAATAGTCTAAATAAATATTATTTTTGGTTTAAATTTTTTTAATTCTCTTTTAGGTAGCATTGTTATTGTTTTCATCTTCAGTACATGTCTTTTTTGTTTTTTTTTTTTTTATGTTATTGGTAGTGTGTCATGTGCAATTGATTTATTGGTAGTATCATAGAGGGATTCATCATGCAATGAGATTATGTTGTATGAAGTTTTAGATTTGTCTTGTTGTGTATATGACTGAGATCTTAGTTGTGCTATGAACTCTTTATCTTACAAGCACATGTTGATATTTGGAAGTGGTAGTTTTTCCCTACATGTTTCATGTGTTGTGAGACATCTAATTCTAAATTAATTAAATGCATATATATATTATTTTTTGTTGTAGCTACTAATTTATTTTTTAATTTGAGTAATAAGAGCAATAAAGTGGGAAAATTATGATGTGGAACCGTGTCCACCTTGCAAGGGGGACAAAGGTGGACACGGTTCCAAAATTGTTCATAATTATGAATATATAGTTCAGAAATTATGAACATAGAGTTGTGAACATAATTATGAACATATAGTTCTGTAATTATGAATATAGAGATTCAATAATTGTGAATATGAAGTTAAAAAAAATTATGAATATATAGCTTTATAATTATAAACATATAGTTCAGTAATTATGAACATAGAGTTGTAATTGTGAATATAGAGTTCAATAATTATGAATATGAAGTTCAAAAATTATGAATATATAGCTTTATAATTATAAACATATAGTTCAGTAATTATGAACATAGAACTGTGTCCACATTGGAAGGTGGACACAATTCCACAACATAACGATTGAATAAAGTGGCGTACATATTTTTCATCCACAATAATGAAATCATTGATTTTTTTTTAAATTTCTATTCGTTGTTGAGACAAATTGTTTTGAGAGTTTGTCAATAACCATTGCTGTCAATAGATGATGATAATAAATAATTCAAAATATAATGTTACAATAGATATTATTATAATAATATATTAAAATTATCTTACAAATTTCTTTACAAGTTTTCATGCATTGATAAAAGCATAATTGAAATATTAAGTTTTGTTCTCAATAATCAAAAGAATATTAATTAAACGAAAAAAAAAAAAAAAACTGAACTTAAATTTATTTATTTTTAATGAAAGAAAATCAAATGATTATCAAAGTTCCTGATTTATAATCATTGAATATTATGTATTTAGTCGGGCTAATTATTTGACCAAAGTTTATGTTAAATTTTATATTTTATTTTTTAATACATTTTAACATATTCGTATTATATGCTTAACAATTATGCTAACTCTAATTGGAAAGCATAATTGAAATATTAAGTTTTGTTCTCAATAATCAAAAGAATATTAATTAAACGAAAAAAAAAAAAAAAACTGAACTTAAATTTATTTATTTTTAATGAAAGAAAATCAAATGATTATCAAAGTTCCTGATTTATAATCATTGAATACTATGTATTTAGTCGAGCTAATTATTTGACCAAAGTTTATGTTAAATTTTATATTTTATTTTTTAATACATTTTAACATATTCGTATTATATGCTTAACAATTATGCTAACTCTAATTGGAATGAGGTTCGAACCTAAGACCTTTCTTATAAAAATTAATAAGTAAGTTAGAATAATAAATAGTTAACGGAATATTCCGTTAATAAAGTTTATACTAACGGAATTTAAGATTATTTAAGGAAAGAAAATAATATAATAAAGGGTAAATAAGAAAAATCATTAAAAATACTAAAATCAAAATACTATGAACCATACATTTTAAGAAACAATTAGTAGTACAGACATTTTTTTTTATTCCAGTTAAGGGCCTAACATTATTGGCTCTTATTAGAATTGTAGATGTAGATGTAGATGTAGATGTAGATTTACTCCATATTGTTGTGACATAAGTTGATTGGCTTAAAAAGTAGTGGGGTTATAACTTTTTTTTTTTTTTTTAAAAAAATCTAATAAAATTAAGACGGGTGGTCAAAGTAATATTCTCTAAGAATAAGTATTTTCTATTACTATCGGAAGAAGCTGAAGCCATGGATAGGTGATAAGCTCTTGCTATAATCTTAATATATTAAATCAAGTCTTTAAAAAAATAAAGTCACTACTACAAAAAACACTTTTCGAGTTACCTGTAAAACACTTTCCGAGTCAACTGTACAGGTGACTCGAATTTCAAAGCCTCTGAAAGTGTTTAGCTTTCCGAGACACCCGCACAGACACACGCCGTGACAATCAAGAAGTGCAATTACGGCGGCGAAGGGAAAGCTGAGTTTCTGTTACAATTATCCATCATCGTCACCCTCAGGCACAGAAATCTATTGCTATGTTCACTGCAAATTTGGTCTAAAATTAAGTCTTTCAATGTGCTGAGAACGGGGATGAAAAGGGGAAGAAGGAAGGAGGTCTGAAAAGACGAAATTAACCCCTATCTAACGGGAATATTAACGGAGGACCAAAATTGTCCTCGTCACAATAAGAGTGTCCACAAATTGTCTAATTTTTTTAATAAGGACTAAAATTGTCTGTGCCACTATAAGGGGGGTGTATTCAATCATGACTTTTGTAGAGTTTTAAAGACTTTTAAAATGATAGATTTTAATAAACTTTGATTGACTTTCATAGAGTCATTCAAAACTTTTTAAAACTTTATAAGACTCTATAAAAGTCTATATAAAAAACATTCATAGACTTTTATCAACTTTTTATTTTAAAAAGTCTACACAAGTCATTGAAATTTTAAATTGAATACATCCCTACAAGCTTTCAATAATTTTGATTCGGAAAAATTATAAAAAATACCCCTCTATAATATGTCAATTATCAATGCCAACCCTGAATTATGAGTGATGTAAATGTTGCCCCTCAATTATCAAAATGGTGCACATATAGCCCCTCCTGTAATGGACTTGTGGTTCTTCACCACTGTCCATTGCTGGTACTTCGAATCGAGAGAGGGAAAAAACAATTAAATTACATATTTATTCAGACTTAACGGTGTCGTACACTAACGGGGAACCACATGTCCGTTACGGGAGGGGCTATATGTGCACTATTTTGATAATTGAGGGGCAACATTTACACCACTCATAATTCAAGGGTGACATTGATAATTGGCATATTATAGAAGGACATTTTTTACAATTTTACTTTTTGATTCTTATCATTTACAATTTTCTTACAAAACATTTATAATATATCATAAAATTCTTCTTATTACACCCACATCAACATTCTCAACATTATTATTTTTATCCATAGTATGTTAAGACTTATATGGTAATTACTTATATATATTATTAATAAACATCAACAAAAAAAAAAAAAAACTATTTCATTAGAAATTCATAACAATATTGAACAATAAAATTTATAATAAAAGAATTGATCAAATAAAATATTTAAAAATATAATTACAAGTTGCATAAGATAAACAAAAAATAAAAATCTAATATTAATAATATATATATAATTATACTTGATATATTGCTAGGCATCACGCAAAGAACTATTATTTCCAATAGCAATTTGAGACTGCAAACAACAATAAGGTGCTACTGTTTGCAACCCCAAATTGTTGTTGTGAACAGTAATTCGCTATTCGTTTTTGTTAAAAGAAAAGGAAAAATATATATTACGAATATAAACATAAAAAGAATAAAAATCAAAATATATAATTATTTATATGAATATTATGAAACATATACTAAAATTTGACGATGAAAAATTTGCTTTGTTCATGTATTTAGGGAGAATTAGAGAAAGTTAGGGATAAAAAATTCATAGAAAAAAATAAAAATCAATATAAACAAGCAATAATGAAGTAAAAATAATATTATTTCGAATTTTTAGATGAAAATTTTAAAGTTTAGGAGAGAGAGAAAAATTGGTAGAGTTTAGGTATGAGAAAAATATAGGATAATAAAAAAAAATAATTTTATTGAATTTAGATAGGTTTATAGAGTTTAAATGTGGAGAAAAAATAGAGTTTAAATAGAGAGAGAAAACATTCAAAGTTGTTAGAAAGAAAATTTGAAATCTTGGGGTTGATGGTTGGATTTCAACTATTTATATTTGAGAAGGAAAAGTCTACAAAAGTCTTAAAATTAAAAAGTCTACAAAAGTTCATAACTTTTTGAATACCACATGACTTTTAATGACTCTTTAAAAGTCTTAATCGAATACCACACGACTTTTAAAGACTCTTTAAAAATCTTTATTGAATACCGCCCGACTTTTAAAGACTCTCTAAAAGTTTGAATTGAATACCTCCAAACTTTTAAAGTTCATAAAAGTCTTTAAAACTCTATGAAAGTCATGATTGAATACACCCCCCTAAGTCTATGACAAAAAATGTCTTTTACTCTATATAATAATATAGTTTTAGGGGATTCTGGGAGAATATTGAGTTTGATGGGGTGCCGGCAATCCAGCATATTGCAGCGCCAATTTGTTTATACAAATAATAATAGTATAGAAACATGATAGGAGATGTACAAACATACCTCTCCATTGATGTTGTGCCTGATCAGACTAAGTCTCAGAATTCCCCGTTGATGTTGTGTTGCATAATAATTTAGGTTTGTACTTCTAACCCATGGGCAATGGCTTAATATATGGACTAATGGTGTAGTTATAACTCTATAAGGATTTGTGGGTTAGAGTTCTATTAAGATTTTAATATTATAATAATTAGACTAATGATGTTGTTATAATTCTATATTAGACTTTAATATTAGAGTTAGACTAATGGTGTAGTTATAATTTTATAAGGATTTGTGGGTTAGAGTTACTTTAATATTAGAATTCTATAAGGATTTCTACGCAATGTTAACGGTGAATTAACGGAAATCAACGAAGAAGATAATATTTAACGGAAAAAATTAACGGATAATCATATAATTAAGAATAAATTAAGAAACCTGAAGGAAAAATTAAAATCTGAATAATTTGAACCATTCATTTAATTTAATAATTTGACGACCATTTTTTCTACCTATTATAGACTTAACTTTCTTTCGCTCATATTAGTATAGTAGATTTTGAATAGTACAATGATAATTGCTATTATTATTACCTACAAAGTTCCACTTATTTATCTACTCATATCATCTATCACACTATCCATCAATATACCTTTACCGCACGTTTGGTTCACGGAATGAATTTTGAGGTAATAGGAATGTTATTCCATAAGGAATGAAATGGGCAAGGAATAGAATAAGAATTGTATTCTATTGTTTGGTTCGAAGAAGAAATATACTTTAGGAATTATATTACTGTGTTTGGTTGATTTAAGGAATAGAAATGAAATATGTTTTAAAAGACATAAATACCCTTATAAAAATATGTTATGGTGGTGGTGGTGGTGGCAGAGTCGGTGGCGGCGGTGGTGGTGGCGACAGCGGTGATGGTGATGGTGGTGGATGGTGGTGGTGGCAGCGGTGATGTTGGCGGTGGTAGTGGTGGCGGCGGTGTGGTGGGGCGGTAGTGTCGGTGGTGATGTTGGTGGCGGTGGTGGTGCTGGTGGTGGTGGTGGTGGCGGTGGGGGGAGGGGGGAGGAGGGGTAATATAGGAACTAGAAACTTTAGACTATTTCTGAGAACTCAGGAATAGCCTAATACTAGGGTCTCCCCTAGGAATCTTTATTCCCCTTGCAAGGAGAATAGATCATTCCCGGGAACAATGTTCCTGAGAATACAAGTGGTTACCAAACAAAGGAATATGTCTATTACTGGGAATGCTATGTTATTCCAGGCATATTCCGTGAACCAAATAGCCCATTAGTTCTTTACTACCACCTACCTACCTTATTCGCTACCATGGTTACATATAATATTGTCTTATCTTCTTAGTACTCAAATGTTTAGTCATTTTTGTACTCATATGTTTAGAGCTACCTGAATACATATGGATATTACCAGTTGTTATATCATGGACCGCAGTATACGTGCACCGCGGTCAAAATGGCATCGTTTCTTAAAGTAAAGAAACGGCGCATCGTTACAGTTAACGGAGCGCGCATATTTGGTGTATTAATTTTCAACTGGCACTACAGTGTATCTAAATCGATACTGCCTCACGTATTATTTTATATATTATCCGCTGAAATTGCAATTCAATTGAAGTGAAACTATACTTGTGGTGAACTGAAACTACAGTGTATCTAAACTGATATTGCCTCACGTATTATTTTTATATTATCAACTGAAACTGCAATTGAATTGAAATGAAACTGTAGGTGTGTTGAAATGAAACTGCAGTGTATATAAAATGAAACTGAATAACATTTCACATTTTTGAGTGTGTATTGTGTAATGAAGCTATAGTTATATCGAACTGATCATGTAGTTGTGTTTTAATGAAACTATGATGTATATAAAATAAAATTAAATAACATTTTCACATATTCGGGTGTTAATAATATCGAATGAAATTGTAATTATATTGAAATGAAACTGTAGTTATATCGAAATGAAACTACAGTGTATACAAAATGAAACTGAATAACAGAGTTATTTTTTACGGAATGGCGCGGAACGGTGCGATACATATGACGTTTCGTTTCATTAAATAAAACGACGTCGTTTTGACGCGCGGTGCACAATATAATTTGCCGGATATTACATATACTCGTTCAAAACCCAAATACCACTACCCATATGAGTTTTTTGCACTTTTAGTCCCACGACTATAGTGGCACTGGCAGAATTGATCAACGACTTTTGAACCTTGCAATTTTAGTCCACGACTATTGATTTTTTTGCAAAAATGGTCCTTCCGGCCACTTTTCCGTCAAAATTTCACCGGAAAAAAAAAATTCTCTATTTTTAGTCGGGTTAAAATTGACATTTTACTTAGCTCAAAAAATTAAAAGAAAAAAATTGATATTTGACTACATACAATATTACTGGGCTACATACTACTGCCCCAGGCAGCGGAGTACATGTACCACTCCAATGATGCTGCCGGATAACCCAACTAGCCCGGGGAACGCCACGGCCGCTCCGCCGCTTACTGACAGCCCTGCCTGCTCCACGAACTCCGCCGCCTGGGGCAGTAGTATGTAGCCCAGTAATATTGTATGTAGTCAAATATCAATTTTTTTCTTTTAATTTTTTGAGATAAGTAAAATGTCAATTTTAACCCGGCTAAAAATGGAGAATTTTTTTTTCCGGTGAAATTTTGACAGAAAAGTGACCGGAAGGACCATTTTTGCAAAAAAATCAATAGTCGTGGACTAAAATTGCAAGGTTCAAAAGTCGTGGATCAATTCTGCCAGTGCCACTATAGTCGTGGAGCTAAAAGTGCAAAAAACTCCTACCCATATAGTACTCAAAAGTCAAAACCCATTACACACACAAAAACACACACACACAATTGAATACATGGGTTTTGCTATAATCCAAACTCGTTTCAAACCTGACCATCAACTATTCAAACATATCTTATTAGATGAAATCCAAACACTCGGTATTATTTTATCCATTGTGATCAATAGATAGGATGAGGATTGTATTGATTAACTAAAACGAATAATCATCTGTACAATACTAATATAGAAGAGATAGAAGACAAGTATAAAAAGTTCTACTAGACTACTAATACTAGAGTCCTAACACTCCCCCTCAAGCTCAAGGTGGAGCATTCGAAACATTGAGCTTGTCCCGCAGCAATGAAAACCGAGCAGATGCAAGTGGCTTGGTGAAAATATCAGCTAGCTGGTCCTTCGTGGAGATAAAATGAACCTGCAACTCCTTCTTGGCAACCTTATCGCGAACAAAGTGATAATCAATTTCAACATGCTTTGTTCGTGCATGAAAAACCGGATTAGCACAGAGGTATGTTGCCCCAAGATTATCACACCACAGTCCCGGCGCAGAGTCTGGAGGAAAGCCAATCTCGCGCAGCAAAGAAACCAACCACGTGACCTCCGCTGCCACATCAGCCAGCGCCTTATATTCGGCTTCAGTAGAGGACCGCGCCACTGTCCGCTGCTTCCGACAAGACCAAGCAACTAAATTGGAGCCCAAGAATACTGCAAAATCACTTGTAGATTTCCGGTCATCCGGATTACCTGCCCAATCCGAATCCGAGAACGCATGCAACGCAAGAGACTCTAACTTGCGAATACAAAGACCCACCTAGAGTTCCTTTCACATACCGCAGAACACGTTTCATAACCGCCCAGTCAGCAGTAGTGGGGGACTGCATGCACTGACAAAGCCTGTTAACTGCATATGACAAATCTGGCCTAGTCACCGTCAGGTACTGAAGTGCACCCGCAATACTACGGTAGTGGGTAGGATCAGCAAACGGAGTAGAATCATCATCATCAGACCGAGTGACCGAAATAGGCGTAGAAACCGGCTTACAGTCAACCATTCCTGCACGCTTAAGAATATCTTGTATATAACGCCGTTGAGAGAGAAGAATACCATCATGTAGAGGCAACGTCTCAATGCCAAGAAAGAAAGACGGGGGTCCCATGTCCCGAATCTTGAATGTACGCGCAAGCTGAGCCACAAGCCCATCAACACGACTCGAGTCTGATCCCATGACTAAAATGTCATCAACATACACAAGAAAATAAAGCTGCACACCACTGACAGAATATATAAACAGCGAAACATCAGTCTTGGACGGAACAAAACCAACAGAAATAAGAAAATTATGCAACAGGGTAAACCAGGCACGAGGGACCTACTTCAGTCCATACAAGGAACGCTGTAGATGGCAGACATAATCAGGGACAGACTTATCCTCATAACCAGGTGGTTGACGCATATACACTGTCTCCGCCAGGTTACCATTTAGAAAAGTGTTGTGGACATCCAGCTGACGAATGGACCAACCACGGGAGTGAGCCAGTGATAGAAGAAGACGAACCGTGGTTGGCTTAACCACCGGACTGAAAGTCTCAAAGAAATCCTTACCAGCGACCTGATTAAAACCTTTGGCCACCAGACGAGCCTTATGTCGCTCAATAGACCCATCAGCATTCCGTTTCACCCGAAACACCCACTTGCAACCCACAACATTCATACCTGGGGTGTACGGGACCAGACTCCAAGTCTGGTTTTGAAGTAGAGCATTAAACTCAACATCCATGGCCTCACGCCATTCCGGATGCGCCACAGCCTGAGAGTAACATGTCGGCTCAGGAGTAGTAGCAGAAACGAGAGCCACATGCTGTTGCGGGCCCTGACTCCTCGTCGCCAAAACATGAGAGCGCGGACCTGCCACCTTGTTCTTACTACCACGAGGCCGGCCACGAGAAGGCTTAGGAACGGCCGAAACAGTCCGTTCAGTGGAGACAGAGTCAACCGGACCAGAGGACATACCCGGAACCGGCGCATCATCTACAGGCTCCGTAGCAGAAGAAGAAACAGGAACGATGGGGGCAACACCCCACGGCACCACTGGAGGCCGAGACACCACCTGCGAAGAAACAGAGCCAGCAAAGGGAAAAACGGACTCATCGAATCGCACATGGCGACAGATAAAAACCTTATTAGTGATAGGATTCAGACAACGATAGCCACGAAAAGAGTCAGGGTATCCTAAAAACACACAAGGAGAAGAACGGTACTCCAATTTATTACGGTTATAGGGACGTAATAAAGGAAAACACAGACACCCAAACACACGCAAAAAAGAATAGGACGGAGGGGACCGGTGTAAACGAAAGTGAGGAGACTCATAGTTTAAGACACTGGTAGGCATTTTATTAATCAAGTATACAGCAGTCTCAAACGCATAGTCCCAGAAACGAGAGGGAATAGACGCTTGAGCCATCAGGGCCAAACCAGTCTCAACTATATGCCGATTACGGCGTTCTACCCGCCCATTCTGTTCATGTGTGTATGCACAGGACTGCCTGTGACGAATGCCAATAGACTCAAAGGTAGAGTGAAGTTTCTTGTACTCTCCCCCTAAATCAGACTGAATAGAAAGTATTTTCTGAGAAAACGAGCGCTCAACAAGTGACCGAAACCGTTCAAATATGGAATATATATCAGTTTTTAAGCGCATCGGATAAAACCAAATAAAACGGGTAAAGTCATCCACAAATAGAACAAAGTAACGAAAACCATTCACAGAGTGCACAGGCGCAGGGCCCCAAATATCAGTATAAACCAATTCTAATACACGAGTAGTTTTAGTTTCAACACGAGGTAATAGAAAACGGGATGACTTCCCTAACTGACACGAAGAACATAAACGAGATAAATCACTAGAATTAAAACTGCTAACACCAGAAGACTGCAAAATCTGACGAAGAACCAGAGTATGAGGGTGACCAAGCCGCTTGTGCCACGTAGAGGACGAAGCACGCGCAGCAACATAAGCAACAGAACGAGCAGGAGACGCGGGCCAGGAATATAAGCCACCAGAAGTACCCCCCTTAAAAACCACCTCCCTGGTCAAGAGATCCTTCACAAGAAAACAGTCAGGATGAAACTCAAAAAAGACACGATTATCTTTAGCAAAGCGTTGAACAGAGATCAAAGAGGAAGACAAACCAGGAACATGCAATACATCATCTAAACGAAACACCCTAGAAGACGAGGCTATCGAAGTAGACCCAACACTAAAAATAGGCATACCTTCACCATTTCCGACTCGTAGAGTGTCTGGACCGTCATAACCCGCCGAGGACATCAACTGAGAGGAATCAGGAGTGGCATGATTTGTAGTCCCCGTATCAGGAAACCACTGGTGAGAGGCAACCGAACCACCCTCACTACCAGAAAAAACCACATTAGCCTGAAGACCGGATGACTCAGAGTAACGGCGCCAACAATTCACCGTCGAGTGCCCAACCTTGTCACAAATCTGACAACGGACATCCGAGCGACCAGGGCCACGGCCCCGGCCGCCGCGACCACGGCTGCCACTGCCCGGACTGCCGCTGCCCGAGCCACTGCCGCCGGAACCCCCACTGCCCGAGCCACCTCGGGAGAACCGGCCTCCGCCACGACCGCCTCGGCCACCACGTTGAACAGCCAAGGCCGCCGACGCACCAACCGGACCATCACCTGCGCAGATATATTCCTGAGAAATCAAATAATCGGAAAGTTCCGAGAGAGTTACCGGGTCACCACGAGTCAACGGAGCAACAAGCGGGCGGAGATCCAACCGCAGTCCACGAAAGACATAAATATTCTGCTCATCAAGAGGAACCGGACGCCCAGCAGGGGCCAAATTTTCAATCAAAACCCGCGCCCGATTCAAATAATCAGAAACCGATGAGGCTCCCTGCGATAAACGCTGTAGCTCACTGAGCAGACGAACCGCGCGAGACCGCGTTGCCGAGCCGAGCTCTTGCTCAATTGCCAACCACAACTCATGCGACGTCGGCCGGCCCACCGCCAATGGGAGCATCTCGTCCGACAGGGACGAGATCAAGAGAGACAGGACAGCTTTGTCCTGCCGGCGCCACTGCACCACCGGCGACCCTACTGCCGAGGCAGTGCCGCCACTGTCCGCCGTCGAGGACTCCGGCGAGGCGGCCTCCGGACACTCCAGCGAGCCATCAACAAATCCCAACACTCCCTGTCCTTCGAGAAACGGGAGCATCTGGGTGCGCCATAACAGATAATTATGAGCGGTGAGCTTAATCGACACAAAGTGATGAGCACTGGATAAGCTCGGAGACGGATAAATGGGGGTGGAGGCAACTTCGGAGACGGTCCGTTCAGAAGAATCACGAACAGATCCATCGTCATTCCTACCCAAAGCTGCCATGGAAAGAAACCTAGATATGATACCAGATGAGGATTGTATTGATTAACTAGAACGAATAATCATCTGTACAATACTAATATAGAAGAGATAAAAGACAAGTATAAAAAGTTCTACTAAACTACTAACACTAGAGTCCTAACAGATAGAAAATATTCTTATTGACTGAATTAAAACTTTTAGATATAACCGACTCAATCCAATACCCACATATGACCACACTACTCAATGATATTGTCATCTACCAAACTACCACTAAGTCACTAAAATTACTTATAAATTTAAATGAAGAAAAACAATGAATAAACACATAAGTTTAAATAATTTCATATATTCTCATTTGAAAACAAAAAAGCACTAAAGAGTATACCCTTTTGTACCAGCCAGAAAACAAGTTAATGAGCCTATAAACTAAACTTAGTCTAAACCTGTTTCACTTGGAACTGGAAACAGTCTCTTCCTTGTGTAAATCCTCGCTGTTATTCAACAGCTTCTCTTTCGCTGCACCCAATCCATCTTCGGCAGCAACACCGTCCACTTTTCCCACCTTCTGCGAACCAGTAAACCGCGCCAGCATCACAAACGTCATTCCCCCGACAACGTTGTTTACCAATCTCAGTATAAACACCGACACCTTGAACGCCGGCGGAGGAAGCCCCTTTGCCAGCAAGAATTCGATTCCGTTCAGTGTTTGGTATCTCACGTTGCTGCTGATGCCCATGTGAAGTGCCCAGGTCGAAGCGTTCAGGAGCGTCGGGGGCGGCTTGTTTGGGGTTTCGAAGCTCGGGTCCATCTTCTTCCTCATCTTGATCAGCCCGTTGGTAATGGAGGTTCCTAGCAGCCCCGCCGGAAACCCGACGGCGGCGAATACGATCCCCTTGTACACCAGCGTTCCCAGCCGGTCGATCAGGGAGTAAGGGCCGGGCTGAAACATGTAGCTCGGCGGACAATTGGCGAAAATGGAGGGTAAAACTTGGGGTAAAGAGGAGGTTGTTGGTGCCAGGAGATACATTAGCAGAAAATTCAGAATTAAACCTACGACTAGGGTTGAAAACACGAAATCGAGCTCGTTGAGCCCGAAATTCGGCCGGGAAGACATGTCGCCCAGAGTGGAGGACCCAACGCCCACCAATTCCTCCATGAGAACCTTGAAGGGGAATTGCGGGTCCGCCGCAACCCGGTCTCTCCAGCCATTGATAAAAGCCCCAATGAACCCAAACCCGCTCCACCAAGAATTCAAACCCTCAGAATCTCCACCTCCATCCCCCCGCCCATCATTTCCGCCGCCGCTACCCCGCCCAATTCCGCCGCCGCCGGCCAAAGCGGCAGGAATCCTCAACGGCGCATCCGACTCCAACTGCTTGGAAGAATGGTAAATGGTATTGGGCAAAGCGGAATCGCCGGAAAATTCGAAAGTGCGTCTGGAAAAATGGTGTCGACTTGGAGGGGTGGAACGGAGATTCGGGGTCTGACCAACATTGAATCCAACTCCAACAGGGAGAGTGAACTGAGCCGCCGCCAACATCTTCCAGTCCGGCGACCTAATCAAGAATGAAATCGAGAGAACAAAAACGAGCAGCAAAAAGCGAGTAAGCCTTTCAATTTTTGTTTTTTTGCCTAGTTAGAAAAATCTGAACTTGTTTGCAAAAAAAGAAAAAATCTAAACTTTAAATATATGCCATATGCGACCCAATTTAAAATGGTTTCCTTTTAAGCAAGAAAATCTGAACTTTGTGATAATAATATTTACCCTTAAGATTTTATCTATGTGAAAATAATTTACATTTTAAACTATTTGATAATTACTCCTTATAAGGTTATATCGGTAGGAAAAGGCTCAAGTGTCATTCTGTTCCATGAACCAAAAAGCGATTTTTCATGTCGCACCCTAATATTTCATAACTGCTGTTTCGCACAAATTATAAATTTTTTTTCGCCTAGAATTTTTTTATAGGTTGCATTCAAGTTATAGGTTATAACTTACTGATGTGGAGGTGTTTTGTTGTTGACGTGTTTTAATTTGTAGAGGTGACATCCATTTCATCACGTCGCTCAAATAAACTCAAAATTGAAATATGAAAGCAAACCCTAATTCCAATTCGCTCAAAATCGCGATGAATAAACCCAAGTACCCAATCGGAATCCCCCAAAATTGCGACCACTCAAACCCTAAATCCCTAAGCGCGACGGCTCCTAGACGACATCCCTACATCCCAACTACCCAATTCAAGCTAACAGTGGACGACGAAGGAAAAGCGTCTGGAAGGCCTAGGGAATATATGCGAAGGACGAGTAAGGTATGTAGAACTCTATATGTAGAACAATCTATATGCAAATAGTGTAGTGATTGTAATATGTTATACTGTTTTCTTAATGGAAAAATATATGCGAATATGCTTTGAATATGATGTGGTGTGGTCCTGCTGCTGTTGCTTTTGCTTATATTTTGCATTGATTTTCATGTATTGGGATCGTGTTATACTGCATTTTTGTTGTAATATGTTTGTATAAAGTGTGGTCCTGCATTTCTTTAGTCTTATTTATGACAGTTGTGTGTATACATTGATACAATGTGCATTGAATTTCTGTTGTCATGATGAATGAAAGTGTGGGATTAATTATTCATCATGGTGGTAATTTCGCGCAAAAGCCTAGGTTCAAATATTTGAATGGTGAGACAGAAGTAGTGCGTGTGGATCCTAATTTAATATGTTATCCCCACTTAGTGAAGTATATAGCAGACCAAAGATATGAGAAAATAGCCTCACTGACTTATAAGTTGACCACTGAACTCTTTACAGCATTAAAACTATTACATAATGATGCTAGTAAGAGATGGTTGAATCTTTATATCACAAAAGAAATATGCTATTGATATTTTTGAAAAAATTCAAAATGGAAAACTCTAAACTAGTTTCAACTCCAGTAACTTAAAAGTTGAAAGTGCCCAAATATGAGTGTGGTAAGAATGTGATTGTTACAACTTATAAAATCTTAATTGGGAGTTTGAGCTATCTAGTGATTACAAGGTCAGATATTTCTTTTGGAGTTGGAATACTTAGCAGATTCATGGAGAAACCAAAAGATTCACATCGTGGGTTGCAACAAAGCGAATGTTGAGATATGTCAAAGGTACGAGTAATGATTGAATATTTTACTCTACTAATGAAGTTGTGGAATTTGTTGGAAAGTAATTGGGTTAGAGATGTTGAGACTAGAAAAAAAAAAAAAAAAAAAAAAAAAAAAAAAAAAACATTAGGATATGTCTTCTTTTGCTCTATTTTATTGATCTTCAAAGAAGCAACAAATTGAAGCACTTTCAACCGCAGAAACAAAATACATTACAACAGCAAATTGTGCTACTCAAGTAGTTTCGTTGAGGAGAATTTTAGAGTTTTTACAAGACAAGCAGAAAGCACTACAACAATTTTTGGTGACAAGTCTGTAATTTCGTTATCCAAAAATCTTACCTTTCATGGTCGTAGCAAACACATTGATATCAAGTATCACAAAAACAGAGCGTTGGTTACTGAAAAATAAATCAAAATTAAGTACTCTTCAGGTGAGTGTCAAGTTGCATTTATAGTTTTACGGAGCTTTTGGAGACAAAATCATTTTTCAAATTGAAGAAGACGATTGGAATGGTTAACGTACATTTTCGACTTGGTTTAAGAAAGACAATGTTATAATATTATTATTATTATTAAATTAAGTCTTCAATATATATATATATATATATAGAGAGAGTGTGTGTGTGTGTGTGTGCGCGCGCGCGCGCGCGTAAAAATCCTCCTATGTCATTTTTTCGCCCAAATTCAGGGACATTTTTGTAATATCAAATATTTGGACAAATATGGTATTTTTTATAATATTAAAGTTATACCCTTTTTGGGATTATAACGTTTTTTGTATTAATTGAAAAATTGAAAGCTTTTACCTTTCTTGAGATCTCTTACCATTTTATAATTTCAATACTAAGCTCTTTTGATCTCATCCATTGTATATAAATACACCTTATATGATCATACACAACCCATCAACGTCACAACCCCAACTAAGCAATCATTATTGTGTGGACCAAGTTGTGTGAACCATATTTTGTATACTGTAAAATAATGTACATTCAGTACAAAAATAATATACATTCAGTAAAAAAAAATAATTTACATTGTATTCAGGGGATGTACATTATTTTTGTACTGAGTGTGCATTATATTGTATAATGTACTTTCAATACAAAAATAATGTACATTTAGTATATTTATTTTTTGTTATGGTCCACATAACACTGTGTGGACCATGGTCTACACAATAATTTGCCCCAACTAAAGTTAATTATTTCATTGACTTTTGCTAATCATTCTGTGATATTCTACCGTTGAGGCTGATATGTGATTTGCATTGGTAGGTTTTCATTATCTAGGTTTTTTTTCTTTTCATTTTGGGTTTTGTTTTGTTTTGTTTTTTTTTGTTTTTTTTTTGTTTTTTTTTTTTTTTTGTATTTTCCGATATTTAAACAAGAAAAGTGGTTCGTAAGAAAAAATGTTGATATAATTTTTTTTTTGTTTATTTTTTGTGGAGAAGATACGGATCTAGAAAGATTGATCGGGAAGCAATAGAGCTCCTTGGTCATCAAGTGGATAAACTTTGGAGAGGGACGGATTCTGTGTATATGTAAAGAGATACAGAGGGAAGCATGATAAGAATATAATAAAAATCAAAATGAAATTCAAAACATTTTTTAGTTGTCAATATATCAAGTACGTCTTGATGTTGAATTTATTTAAAAGTGGCTCAAAATAATTTATTCAACACCGATTTCATCGCAAAAAAATTTATGGAGTGATAATTGACTATTTTGAATTTTCTTAAAACCATATTTATAAAATTAAATTTTGGGTTGTCACACTCCAGGCCGCTCACCTCTTCCTCGGTGATTGACAGGTTAGCGCAGTGTTCCTCAATTTGTCGAATATCCATGGTGAGACAGGATAAGAAAGCCAGGAAACAAAATATCAATGGTGTATCCATTGGAGGAAAAAAAAAAAGAAATATAAACCCTAGAAAGCTAGGGAGGTACTCTCTTGAACACGATCAAGAGAGAGGGCCACTAAACGGCAAACTCGATCGGAATACACGATCGGCGATCACGATCTGATTTCACGAGATTTGCAGAGCATTTTTAATAAGGATTAATATTTGATGCACCGCCGGCGGTGAATGAGGGAATGCCACATCATTAAAAATTAAATTCAGTTTTAATTGGGTTATTTTTTGCAAAATATCTAACACTTTAATTTTTTAGGAAACTCTTTTATTTCAAATTAACATAATATATGGGTGGAGTACTAGTGTTTATATATATATATATATATATATATATATATATATATATATATATATGTATACAAAGTCATAATAATTAGTGAGAACATGAATATAATTAAGAGTTTATAACAAATAAATAATAATATAGAAAATGTTATTATACGATCTTATATGTTGCAAAAAATGTGTGCTTCTTGCGCATGGTTTGAAAAATAACTCAAGAACTATTTTTGATGGAATATTCAACATCGTCAACCTAATTTTTCAATTAGAGCAACAAACTGAATAAAAATGTTTGCTTAGCCACACCTGTAAGATGTAAACATAGGGTCAATTTTTTTTTTCTCTTTAACCTATCCGTATATAATCTAAATAATAATAATAATATTATTATTATTATTAATTATAATAACAATAACAATAATAATAATAATAATAATTACAATAATAATAATGATAATAATTTTCACTGACAGTTTCTAATAATATATATATATATATATATATATATATATATATATTATATTTATTTATTTATATTTCAATTTCTACTGGCAAATTATTGTGTGAACGATGGTCCACATAATTGTATGGATCATAAATATCAAATACATTTTTAATATATTAAAAATACATTATTTTTATATTGAAAGTACCTTACATACATATATAATGTACTCTTAGTATATTTAAAATATACTTTTTATTTATGGTCCACACAATTGTGTGGACCATGTTCCATGTAATAAGGATTGATTTCTACTTAACTGGACCAATCCATCTATATACATATTATTATGTCTGTTATATAAATTCCTACATCCAGCCCAAATTTGCAGCCCAATATAAAATCCAACCAACCCGGCCCATGCTTGACATAACCCAGAGACCACATGTCTCACTTCTTACCCTAACAACACCAGTACACCACAACGGAAAAAATGGGTTCGTTGTCTCCCTCTGACCTCTTCTCTGTCGTCTTCCTCTCCATCTGTCATTGCATGTATATCTCTCTTGTTTAGCTACTCTCTCCAGATCCCTCCACGTTCTCTACTTCGATTTCTAGCAATTTCACTCCATCTTTTCAAATTAAAACCCTAAATACTCCGTATACATACCAAAGAATCCAAAAGACCCAAAAAAGTAAACAATAGTTAAGTGTTTTGGTTCTTACATACAGTTGATTCTGAGGGCGTTACCGTTTTTGGACGAAGAAACTCTAGATCGCGAAATTTCAAAATCGCGATTTCAGAAAAATTCAAAGGTAATAATCTTTCTTTTTTTTTTTTTTTGATCTAAATATTTTGATTTCACAATCCATTAAATCCGGTTTTATAGGGTTAGATAATAATATGAAATTAAATTTTATATTTTGAGATCAGAAATATGCATCTGTGTTTATCTAATTGCATGCATAAGATTTGTTTTTTTTTTTTTTTTTTTTTTTTTTTTTTTTTTTTTGCTGGAATACAAAGATAAATTTTTTTAATAGTAATAATTTAAAAAAAAAAATTAAAGAGGACATTATCTCTGTGTTTATCTAATTGCATTCAGTGTTCCTGTATGCTAACAAAATTTAAACCTGCTAGCAACCACCACTTTAATAGTCACTTATCCAATAACAATTTATTATTATCTTATTTACATTATTGTATTTTTAAAAATTAGGGACTGATTTTGCTAAGCTTCAGTGTCCTAATTCAAAATGTGGAGGCATGATACCGCAAGGTTTGCTGAAATAATTACTTGTTGAAGAGGAGTTTGAACACTGGAAAAAGCTTGATGTTACAGGAAGCATTGGCTATGAACATGGCACTTAAATATTGCACTCTGTATCAACAGATAAGCAAATACATGGATCTGATGCCCATGTTTGATGTAGAAACGAATTAAATTCCTTTATAACATTATTTAATATTTTTGGGGTTTTTTTCCTTTATATGAATTTAAAGCATATTTGATTGCTTAAATGCTATGTATATATAGTTAGGAAGTTGGAGAGATGAAAAGAAGTCACAATCAACAAATAGTCACATTAGTCAAATCTTACCATCAACAATTAATGCTTGATAGAAGCCATAGGTGTATACCAAAAGTATATGTACATGTAGGTATTGCGTACTGTGCAACTTGTATTTTACTCCTAAACTTTCATGTGTGTGTGTGTGTGTTTTTTTTTTTTTTTTGTTTTTGTTTTGTTTTTTTTTTTTTTTTTGTGGCATTGTTTACTTAAGTTTTTATATTATGATATAGTATTCAGCTACTCATCTATTTGAGTAAATACTAACATTTCAAAATAGAAGCAATTTTTTTTTTTGGTGATTTTATCAATCTGGTTCATCTATTTGAGCAAATACTAACATTCCAAAATAGAGGCAATTGATGGAGTTTTTTTTTTCTGGATTTTATCAATCTGGTCTTTAAAATGTTACATGTTTTTTTAACTTTTTTTGAGGTGGCCAAAACTGTGTACTTGTAAACTTTTATATATAGATTCAATATGTATGTGAATGTTTTGTTCTGTGTAAGTTAACTGAAAATACCTGGGCATCATAAGTTGATAATTCATGTATTCCTATATTTGACCAAATACTAACACTTAAGAATAATGGCAAGTGATCATACAGGAATCTGATGCCATTTTTTTTTTTAATGTAGAAACCTATGACATTCCTTTCTAACTTTCTTCACATTAGAATAGTAATTACATTACATAGAGTTTTTTTCAAAAAAAAAAAAAAAAAAACATTACATAGAGTTTAAGTTCCCTTTTTTCCAGCTCTTATCAATCTGGTTTGTACTGTGCCAAACTGTCTACTTGTAAACTTTTATGTATACCTCCAATATGTATGAGAATGTTTTGCTCTGTCTAGATTAATAGAGTAATTGCAAATATGACTTTATAATCATTAGTAGCATATTACACATTAGAAGGCTTAGTACACTACTAAAAAACATTAACTGCTACTGCTAAAGCTAAGAACATTAGGCTATGCTGCTAATGCAGCTTTCACAAAACTAAGAGCAAATCAGGAAAGTAGAATAGATCTACTTGGTAGTAGTAAATTGCAGCCTATGCACATTTTTAGCCCTAACCAACAAAAACCAAAAACCAAAACCAGCAAAAACTTTTCCAGTAGAACTGACTACTTTTCTTTCTTCACCACCACTCCCTTAGCCTTCTTCGATGTACCAACATTCTCAAAGTCTTTAAACAAAGACCTCTTGAGAGGAACATCATTAGCACCAACACCTAAACCATCTTCAATCTCATCCAAGCCAGCAAATTTGTACATAGATAAACCTTGAGACCCATCATCCACCACAACACAGTCTTCATCATCACTACCATAGAATTCCTAAACAAAATATGATTAGGGACAATAAATAAAACCATTTTTTAAAAATTAACCAAAACATAATTTACAGAAATACCTATGAACCTGCATCACCATCTGCATCCCCATCTTGAAAACCATTTTCATGAACAGAACCATTTTCTGGTTCTAAACTGGCAACTGAAAGACCTGAGCAGTGTTGTGTAAGCATTGCTTCATCCCTGCAAATCCTTAGGACTGTGAAAGCAGAATAGTAACTCTCTATCTGCTCCTTCTTCATAGCAACACGAAACAACATAGACATGTCCGGCAAACAACCTAGCTCAGGTGGAATACACTTATTCCCCTACAAAGATTTAAAGGAAAAACAAATGAACATTTAAACTACTATCCTCAATACCCATCTATGTTGTCTAAGTGTTGATACCTACCTCTGGATACTTAGCTTTTAAATCACCAGCTGAAACACCTACCAACTCTGCACACTCACGATCCCATAGAAGCATAGGAGCATCCCCAGTTTGATCAGCCACACGTATAATCACCCTATATCTCACAACTCATGCCAGGAACTTTTACAGCCACCACAGTACATCATACCACCATCAGCAGCAACCTTTCTCCTGCAAGAATTACTCTTGCAAGAGATGTAATACCAGTCACTTAAACTCTCTACATCCACAATTCGTCCTGCCACCCAATATTCCCCTAGCTGCAAGTAATAATTAGGTAAATAAGTAACTTAGCTAAAAAAAAAGGTAAAGGTGAACTAATGTAAATGGTCTTGAACCTTAGTAAATAAGTAACTTAGCTAATGACATTGTAGAATACATTACTTGTTTTTTGGAGTATATATCTTGAATAGAAGTAATCAGCACATCATTAGCACGCACAGCACGTCCAAGATAAGTATCAGATAGCCTTGATTCAGAATCTATACACCGTAAAGGTGTATGGTCACTGTTATAGCTACTAACAGAAATCAAGAAAATGTATGTTAGTACAGAAAATTTATATTTCTTTAGAATAACAGTAAAAAGA